AAGCTCACTAATCCCAACTGAACACAAGCTCACTAATCCCAACTGAACACAAGCTCACTAATCCCAACTGAACATAAGCTCACTAATCCCAACTGAACACAAGCTCACTAATCCCAACTGAACACAAGCTCACTAAGACCACACATCATCTTGGTTTGTTTTAGGTTTAACTTAGTTTCAGTAACTGCATTGTACCTCCTGTGGAACCAGTAATTTAATTTCACCTTCCTGCTTGCTTTTGACAGAGCCCATTATTAAACCTGTGGCAAAAAAGAAGTTTTTCCATGAAGAGCAGGATCTACCTTCAACAACTTATGATATTGAGTAAGGAGGAAGTAATTTAAGATTTATTACCATTACATATGATACTGTATATATCATAATAAACATAATATCATAATTATATAACACAACTATTTTGCAAGTGTTTAATTGTCATGAAATAGGTTTGTGTGTGGATTTACTTATAATTTTGAATTGCATGGTCCATGATGAATCCTCTTTCTAGAGGCTGCACTCTGTGCTTGAAATTTTATTATCACGATAAATACTTAAATAATTAGTACATGAATCTTGATATGTTTTGGTAAGTCTTACATCCTGTATTATTTTAATTCCATTGTAGATATTTGGCAGATTTAATGGACAACCCAGATCTTATCAGAAATGTAGTCTTGGCTGGACATTTGCACACTGGAAAGGTACAATGTACAAGCAAAATTGTAAACTTGATACATACATACATACATACTTACTTAACATACATACTTTATTTAATGTGGCTAACACTTAGCTATATAAAGCTACTTTACACGTCAGTCTCGAAAGAAAAGATAAATAAATGAACTTAGAAGCTATGTAAAAGTGTTTAATTGTAGAACTATTAACTTATAAAAACAAGATTAAAGTCCGATAAGAGATTGCTTTGCCTTTAAAGTGTTTAAAATGATATAGTATATACAAACTACAATTAGAAAACTATAATGCTTATAATTATACTAAGAAAGGTAAGTTAAAGACAAAAAAAAAAGGAGCTTTTTCTCATTTTTTTTTAACTTATTTGGCCTTTCAAAAATAACTCTTACTAACCAAGTTTGAGGTCTGCAGTGTAAATTACGGACCAAGTTCTTTCTGCTCAGATTTATGGCCCAAATACAGACACAGACCATTGAAATTAGTGGGCAAAAAAATAAAGTTTCCATAGTCTACAGTGCAAACAGAGAGGAGAAATTTTAACTTGAACAGAGTTTTGAATTTAGGGGCATTACAGTGAAGTACAACCCACTGAATTGACCAATCATAGTGCATGTTCCAACTGAGAGATGATTTACGATGAGGAAGCTTCATACAAGTTCTTTGTGATTTGTATAATTATTTGCAGAGTGTTTTTGTTGACTGTCTTTTTGAGCAAACACATCCTGAGATACAAGCAAAGGAAGGAAGTGATGTAAGTCTCAGAACCAGTGAGGATATTGTAGTTACATGCACTTAGAATGGTAACCACTGAACAAGGACTAGGTCATCTTCTTGGTGTGATGACTTAGTTGAAGACTAATTTGAAACTAGACTTTTGAAAAGGAAGGAACTGTAATAGTGCTTGTTGAGGACCTGGTTGGAAGTTGGCCAAGTTGCTTAAAATCACTCTGAGAAGTACTTCCATGTAAATGGGATTTAGAAGCAGTTGTATGCAGATGCTTAACATTCTCTCAAAGGCTATACACCTCTAGTGTATACAGGTATTTTTAACAACTATTCACCGAAGTGGAGGTGGTTAGTACTGGATATTTACCAAGCCACAAAGTGGTGAGGTAAATATCCATTGCTAACCACCAACGCTGAATAGTTGTTTTAGTATATACTAAAACAGTGAGATAATATAAATCACCAAAAATTGATTTGAGTGATTTATTCACTTGTCATGGATGCCAACTGGGAAGTCATTTTTTCCGGAGTTGCTCAAAGGTAAATAGCAAAGGATATTCGGAGTTTGACTAGCCAATCAGAGCACGCCTTCAATGCTATCCACTGTTTTAGTATATACTAATACATGTTGTATCTAAGTTGAGTGTTTTAAGTCTCAGCTTTTTTCTATTTTCTAGTAGTCTGCCCTTTTTGGGAAAGAAACAAAAGTAAAACAAAATGAAAAGAAACAAACAAAGTAATGTTGAACATTGGTCTATTAGTGGTAGTATTTATAGCAAATGTAGAGATCAGAAGTTGTTTTGTACCTAGTGGCAGCTTGGAGTGCAGAACTTGAACATGTGTATGCTGGTATGCCTTAAAGTTCACATTTGTGACAATAATTCTCAGGCCTAATTTGTCTGTTTGTTTTTTTTTTACCATACCCAGCTTCGTTATAGTGACACACTGTTCACTGAACAAGAGGTAAGACATTGTCTACAGTATTAAATACATACATACATACATACATACATACATACATACATACATACATACATACATACATACATACATACAAAGATTTCTGAACAGTGTCAGCTATTATGGAGTTTAATGTAATTCATAAACCGCAGAAACCGGGAACGTTTATCATATTCTATTCGAGGGAAAAACCCCGTGTTGAGTGGTTTCAATTTCGAATTCAATTAAAGCCTCCTTTCAATACAAAAAATATTGGAAAAATGCTGAGGCCGTCAAAGTGATCAAATAATCTCTTTTCATGATTACTTTACTAGCATTTACCATTTATACTTACTCTGCATTGTGTCAAACATTGGCAGGTAAAAAGATCTCAACACGAACCTTATTTACATCTGATAAAGTTTATTGTACTTTATACACGTCCGCACGAACCGTTGAAGGTCGTATAAATATATCATACATCGGTCATGTAGACATCCACAAACTGAAGAATGTCCTTTGAAAGACCGTGCATCAGTCAACCAATCATGGGTGTTCATTCTCTGTTTTCTTTGAGGTTTACTTCCTGCTACTGTGCATAAAATGATTTCTGTTCTCATATCTGAAACACCACACTTCGAAACTGAAAGTGAAAGCGCTGTGTTAGTTTGTGGCAAAGATGATTATCACGCAGACATATGGCAAATATATGAAGTGGAATGTGGAAGCAAACTTGGAAAAAGGGAAATTCCCGTGAAGATATGAAACAAGATTGTCATCTAATCACTTTTATTTTCGTTCGTACATCATTATTCCATCAGAGCTCCATCACATTATATTGAAGTATTACGTAATGATCTATTTTAAAAGAATCTGTAGTTTATAATGGTCGTGCTCGGTGGGAAACCAGCTCACGTTGGCTCTGGGTTCTTTATGGCCACCAGAAGCCACAAGACGCTTTTGCAATTGTTTCTGGCGTTTGTCTTCAAGTACATCAGAAGCAANACTACATACATACATACATACATACATACATACATACATACATACATACATACATACATACATACATACATACGTTAGTTGACCACTCCCCATGGAGGCTTTTCAGGGCCAATTCCCACCCATCCCACCCCAGGGGAAAACATCCACCACACAGTAATCTCATGCATGGGAAACTAACGTCTCCTACCCCTAACCCTGCAGGAGACGGGCCTATGGTTTATTCGTCCTTATCCGGGAAGATTAGAATATCTATCCATTTCTTGATGATAGAACACAATCCGGCGCTCTAACCACTTGAGCTAACCGTTATAAATTTATGAGAATAAGTGATTTTCACATTGCAATCTGCCACTTCCTTAGACAACTTACGTGGATTTTTTTTCTTTCAGAGGGGTCTGAGTATCAAGAGTATTCCAGTGTCCCTTGTTTTGCCTGATACTAAGGGGAAATCATACCTCATCAATGTCTTTGACACCCCAGGTAGGTGAATACACTTTGTTTACATGTATGAGTGCTCATCATACTTTTTGTTTCTTGGTTAATTTAATTTATTAGATTCGCCAACAGGCGGGGACACCGCAACAGCTTGCGTCAATTACTGCGGGTCCAGTAAACCCAACCATCCCACCACACAGTAATCTCGTGTGTGGGAAATTAACATCTCCTACCCCTAAAATGAGAGGTTCCTGCAACAGCCATATTTAACCCTTTGACACCCACACTTTAAGAGTGACTAGCATGATTTTAAATTTATCTTCAGGACATGTAAACTTCTCAGATGAAGTCACTGCAGCAATAAGACTGTGTGATGGAGTTATGATCTTTATCGATGCTTCTGAAGGGGTGAGTTATTTTGATTTTTCCCCCTTAACTTCTAAGGCTGCTTGGGGTTTAGGATGTTTTTGAGTTGGCAAGTAGAATTACCAGTCATTCTTTGAATTATAAAGAACCTCCTTTTGCAATTTAGACAGACTAGCCATGTGCAACACTAATGTTTGGTTGTCATCTCTTTGTTTCAGGTGATGTTGAACACCGAGCGGCTCCTAAAACATGCCGTCCAAGAAAGGCTAGCTGTAACTGTTTGTATCAACAAGGTATGTTGTAACAACTGACTTTTCTTGGTGAAGAGTGTTCAAGTGCTTAGAGCTTGTTTTTGACCACACAAGGAACAGCAAATGATGTTTTTTGTCGTAACCTTTGAACTCCCAAGATCTAATTTTTAAATCTCTTCCAGCTGCTACACCTTTCCTTGTAAATTAGTCATGAGAATTTGGTGACAACTTCCACCTGATAAGTTTGAGTATTCTCAGTACCTGTTTGCTAGATAATGTATGGATATTGTAGAGAGAAGTTACATTTTTATCACTTCTGGGAGTTAGAGTTGAGCACAAAATGTACATTTGAGCTTGAGTTCTAGTTACAGATGAAATATTGGATCCTTGTTGTCTTCTGTTTTTCAGATTGATCGACTGATGTTAGAGTTAAAGCTTCCCCCTACAGATGCATACTACAAATTAAAACACATCGTAGATGAAGTGAATGGACTACTCAGGTATGGGTGTAGGAGTTCATGTGCTGTGTAACTGTGTGTTATGAGACAATGAAAGTAACGCTGTAAGTAAATTTGAGAAAAACATACTCTTTAAATGAATGACCAGTGGAAATACTTTCAATCATCTTCATGTTACAGTATTTTTGTGTGTAATTGGTTTCCAGGCAGCAAATAATATAACACTCCAACAGCTGTATAATTATGTTATTTCCATGCTTCTAAAATTACCAATATGAAGTTCTGGCAAAGGGGAAATGCTCAAAATGCTCAAAATGCTGAAAATGCCAGCTTTAGACAATTTTTACAGCTTTCAACTCAGTTGATAAAACCTACAGCCAATCTTCACAGCTTTCAATTCAGTTGATAAAACCATATTATCTCGTAATACCAAGGAGGCGGTGTGGCCGAGTGGTTAGGGTGCTGGACTTGTAATCCGGTGTCCCAGGTTCAAATCCTCCATCCTGCCACTCACTGGATTTGTTCTCAGTTGCCCTTAGTTCAACTCCTCGGCTACGCTCTGTAAATAGCCCACTGGTCTGCCTCCTGCCTGTAGGGATTTTTAAGCACTTAGTTAGTTTACATTGCAGCTGTAAAGCCCCTGAGGGGGTGCTTCAATTTACATATTCATTTATTTATTTATTTATTTGTTTACCCCCAACCAATGTGTACCACAGTTGCTTTAGAAATGTACTCCCCTTTCAACAATGTACATGACTTTTTTGTTACATGTACATTTTGTTTTACATTTACTGATTCATACATAGCGCATTTAATAAGGCAGCCCTTTTGATAAAGATGATGAGTGTGTTTTTTTAACTCTTGTAGCGTCTACTCTGATGGTGCTGATGATTATGTCATGTCACCTTTTCTTGGAAATGTCTGTTTTGCGAGCTCACAGTATAGATTCTGCTTCACACTCTTTTCATTTGCCTCTCTCTATGTGGACACTTTTGGTTAGTATCCCCCCTCATCTTTCAAATTATTAGCCCGTTCCAGGCATGCAGTTAGTAAAAAAGTGTATCATCCAAGTGATATTTTTTCCAGTTGTTTAAAATTTAATTCAAGATAAGAGAGGGTTTTGCTGTAGTTTCAGAATAAGGGAAATCTTGTTTTGTTTAGTAATTCTTACCAGAGAACACTCAAAATAAAAAACACATTGCATACAGTAAGCTGTTCATAGACACTTTTTTCTTACACACTGCAAAATATTTGAAGGATACTAAACACAAGCCGCTGTTTTGTGTGAAAATATTTACAGGTGTTTGTCCTTGCAACAGTATGTGTTCCTCAAAGCTCACATTTGTCCTGGAGCTTTGCTCTTGGTAAACTCTTCACATCTTGGAACAGATAATGTCTGCTTACAAATAAGTTTCCTTACATATTTTTGCACCAGATAGAGGCTATTGTTTACTTAGTAAACAGTGCAAAAGTACCAGAGGAGTGACAGAAAAGAAAAAAAACAGGGGAGGTTTAGATTGGGTCATGTGATGTTCCCTTGTTTTCACTCTGCAGTTATTGCCAGGCCGTTTATCATCTCACTCTGTTTTACCATTATTATTTACAACAACTATAATGAACACTTGAGTCCTTGGGCAGTAATATATTTTTTTGTTTACCAAGGTGTCGGAATCGATCCAAGAGACTTTGCTAAGCGTTTATGGGGTGACATGTACTTCAATTCCAAATCGTAAGTACTTAAAAAATGGTAGTGTGATGCACTGACAGAAGTCTACGTTTGTAGATTGCATGTTCCTTTGTTTTGGGTGTGACAGTCTCTGTTGAGGCGTTAAAATAAATATGCATTGTAACATATTTGATTGAAAGTGTCTGCATTTTCTTGCCAGGCGTAAGTTCTCACGTAATGCTCCTTTAAGTACTTCTCAGAGAAGCTTTGTGGAGTTCATCTTGGAACCTCTGTACAAGATCTTTGCACAGGTAATGTGTACTTGTAAAGTAATTTACACTAGAGGATGCTTTTTGTGGATGATTTAGCACTTAGGAAAGTTCCCAACAAGATATCCAATGTTGGTGTGCAGAGCTTCATGTATCTTATACACATACTGTATGATCTCCTGCTTAATATAAATTTGTTCTATATAGTTTAAAGTGTTTTGAATTTCATTAATTGTTGTTCTTTCCAGGTGGTAGGTGATGCAGACACAAGTCTTCCAAAGCTTATGGACGAGCTGGGTTTGTATTTAAAATCTCTTTGTCGTTGTTGACAACTGATAAGTTCTATGTTTTGTCTGAACAGGAGTGTTTCCATATCTGTGACTATCATGCTTTGGCAAAGCATGGCATTTACACAAGAACTAAAACAAATTTGTGTTGAAATTTCATTTTTTACTCCTTCTTGTAGGAATTCATTTGTCAAAGTCCGAGATGCAGATGAATATCAGACCATTGCTTAGTCTTGTTTGCAGAAGATTCTTTGGAGATTTTACAGGTACGAAATCGTTAGTAATTACTAGTTCACTTAGTAACCTTGATGCCGAACAAGAAAGAAATTATTAAGACTTCAACTTGGAATTAGCAGAAGTAGTTTTCAAGACTTTTTGGTCAACCAGCATTCAAGAAAGAATACCGGCGAAAAATAACCACTGTTTCAGACCCTTCTCTCTCTCTCGCTCTCTCTCACTAACTAGTGCCAGATCCCTTGCAAACCTCTCGTCAGAGTGTTTTGCACAAGGCCTCAAACTCCCCTTGCAAGCAAAGGAACACCCGTACCGCAGCAATTATAATATGGGGCGGCTTGCAGGCTTTTCCAGTTTCTATCCAGGAGTTGAATTGATATCAGTTGCTCTATACTATAGAAACCGGAATATCCTCCCGCAACTGTCCAAGTCAGTCCTGCAACATGATATACAGTATTTATATACCTGGTCAACGTTTTTTTCTGAAATCGCTTTCTTCAAGGATTTGTAGATGTTTGTGTTCAGCATATACCTTCCCCCAAAGCGGCAGCCAAGACTAAGGTAGGAAACATAAATGTTCTACTGTATGGTAAGCCACAAGTGCGTGTAAGTTCCTTGTACTGCACATGATATTTCGGGTTTTCTTTTATGCAGATTGAACATGTGTACACGGGACCGCTGGACACCGAAGTCGTGGACGCCATGAACGACTGCGACCCTGATGTAAGATGCTTGGAAATCTGTTAAGTATTTTTGCGTTTGGTGTGGCCAAGGTTGCAAATAACTAACGGGCAGTCGCCGGTCACGTTGTCCGGTCAAACATGCTTTTGCTCGGACACTACCCGTTTTTGGCCGGTCAAATTTTAACAGTCCGAACTCTTGCGATAGTGAACCCAGATTGCACAGTAAGCTTTTTATAACTAAGAAAACAACTAAATCCAAGTCGGTCTGGCAATAAAAATTACAAGTCAATAATTTTACTACTCTTTACTGCAGAAGCAGCCTCGCATTGAGTACGTGGAACGGTTACGCAAGATACAACCGCAATTGTCCATTTTACTTTACATCTGGCAAAATCACTTATAATTAAATATTACACTCAAAGCCCTTTTTCTTAAAGTTACAATTGTGAATATTTGTTAGAGTAAAAGAGGGTCGGATTCTCCAGGTTTCGGGCCTTCTGCTCGCTTTTTGCACTTTGCAACAAATGCTACTTGGAGTATTCTCGATGCAACAAGATTATTCTTCGTGAGGGTGCTTTCCGATCATTCAATCGATCAAACAATCAATCACTTTATTTAAGAGTTAATGATGGTATCTAGCCAATGGTAAAACCCTCTACTAACTGGGAACACTTAATTAAAGTAAATAAAATAACGGAAGACACGATGATTTGCGGTCGCGACAGGACTTGATGACATCGCGGAAATTTGCGACTGCCGGGAATTTCTCGACCACTAATTTGTCTACTTTTATATTGGTTTTTTTTTCTTT